GCCCGTGTCGTCCACCATGTGTTGTAGCCCGTGTTGTCCACCATGTGTTGTAGCCCGTGTTGTCCACCATGTGTTGTAGCCCGTGTCGTCCACCATGTGTTGTAGCCCTTGTCGTCCACCATGTGTTGTAGCCCGTGTAGTCCACCATGTGTTGTAGCCCGTGTCGTCCACCATGTGTTGTAGCCCTTGTCGTCCACCATGTGTTGTAGCCCTTGTCGTCCACCATGTGTTGTAGCCCGTGTCGTCCACCATGTGTTGTAGCCCGTGTTGTCCACCATGTGTTGTAGCCCTTGTCGTCCACCATGTGTTGTAGCCCGTGTCGTCCACCATGTGTTGTAGCCCGTGTTGTCCACCATGTGTTGTAGCACGTGTCGTCCACCATGTGTTGTAGCCCTTGTCGTCCACCATGTGTTGTAGCCCTTGTCGTCCACCATGTGTTGTAGCCCGTGTCGTCCACCATGTGTTGTAGCACGTGTCGTCCACCATGTGTTGTAGCCCGTGTAGTCCACCATGTGTTGTAGCCCGTGTCGTCCACCATGTGTTGTAGCCCTTGTCGTCCACCATGTGTTGTAGCCCTTGTCGTCCACCATGTGTTGTAGCCCGTGTCGTCCACCATGTGTTGTAGCCCGTGTCGTCCACCATGTGTTGTAGCCCGTGTCGTCCACCATGTGTTGTAGCACGTGTCGTCCACCATGTGTTGTAGCCCTTGTCGTCCACCATGTGTTGTAGCCCTTGTCGTCCACCATGTGTTGTAGCCCGTGTCGTCCACCATGTGTTGTAGCCCTTGTCGTCCACCATGTGTTGTAGCCCGTGTTGTCCACCATGTGTTGTAGCCCTTGTCGTCCACCATGTGTTGTAGCACGTGTCGTCCACCATGTGTTGTAGCCCTTGTCGTCCACCATGTGTTGTAGCCCGTGTCGTCCACCATGTGTTGTAGCACGTGTCGTCCACCATGTGTTGTAGCCCTTGTCGTCCACCATGTGTTGTAGCCCGTGTAGTCCACCATGTGTTGTAGCCCGTGTCGTCCACCATGTGTTGTAGCCCGTGTAGTCCACCATGTGTTGTAGCCCGTGTCGTCCACCATGTGTTGTAGCCCGTGTAGTCCACCATGTGTTGTAGCACGTGTAGTCCACCATGTGTTGTAGCCCGTGTCGTCCACCATGTGTTGTAGCCCGTATCGTTCACCATGTGTTGTAGCACGTGTCGTTCACCATGTGTTGTAGCCCTTGTCGTCCACCATGTGTTGTAGCCCGTGTCGTCCACCATGTGTTGTAGCCCGTGTCGTCCACCATGTGTTGTAGCCCGTGTAGTCCACCATGTGTTGTAGCCCGTGTCGTCCACCATGTGTTGTAGCCCGTGTCGTCCACCAGGTGGCATTGTTTACAAACGAGGGTGCTGGAGTAGATGACTTCTCACTCCTGTTAGCAGGCTGAGAGCGTTTTCCTTCCCATAGCTCATGGTGAGCCTTGTCCTGGCCTCAGCCTCCTCCAAGGAACAACTCCCAGAACCCTCTCCCTCCAGGTATACCATGATAGTTTTCCCCTAGAACACGACCACCAATCGGTTTTGTTCGGATGTCGCAAATTACTGCTGAGTGAAGAGGGGCGAACAGTGCCGGAACAACCGTGGACATCTTCAAGAGAAAACTGGACTGTTTTCTAAGAGAAGTTCCGGATCAGCCGGGCTGTGGTGGTGAGTATGTGGGCCTGCGGGCCGCTCCAAGCAACAGCCTGGTGGACCAGACTCTCACAAGTCGAGTCTGGCCTCGGGCCGGGCTTGGGAAGTAGAAGAACTCCCAGAACCCCATCAACCAGGTATCAACCAGGTTACATATTGGTTCCCTAGCCAGTCCTTCCTGGGTTTTGTCTCTGGACGAATGTGTGAATATCATATGTGCTGTTTGTCATACCTGAAATGTATGTGTATACATACGTCTACACGTATGTATATGTAATTATTAGGACACAATACTCGCCGCCTCCCCGGAGGCATCCCCTGGAAACTGTAATTCCCAGGCACCTATTTACTTGATGCTAGGTGAACAGAAGAATGAGGTGAAAGGAAACACCGCCGTCGTTTCCTTTCCCCGTATTGTGCAACTTATTTTATTACTCATAAATAATTTCTCACCACAAGATATGTTGTTTTATGTTTATTGTTGTCCGGAGGTTGACGTTGTGTTTTGTGTAAACAGTTAATGTTGCTGGCTCTCACCACGTGGTCAGGGCTACGTCTGGCCACGTGGTCAGGGCTACGTCTGGCCACGTGGTCAGGGCTACGTCTCACCACGTGGTCAGGGCTACGTCTCGCCACGTGGTCAGGGCTACGTCTCGCCACGTGGTCAGGGCTACGTCTCACCACGTGGTCAGGGCTACGTCTGGCCACGTGGTCAGGGCTACGTCTGGCCACGTGGTCAGGGCTACGTCTCGCCACGTGGTCAGGGCTACGTCTCGCCACGTGGTCAGGGCTACGTCTCACCACGTGGTCAGGGCTACGTCTCACCACGTGGTCAGGGCTACGTCTGGCCACGTGGTCAGGGCTACGTCTGGCCACGTGGTCAGGGCTACGTCTCGCCACGTGGTCAGGGCTACGTCTCGCCACGTGGTCAGGGCTACGTCTCGCCACGTGGTCAGGGCTACGTCTCACCACGTGGTCAGGGCTACGTCTCACCACGTGGTCAGGGCTACGTCTCGCCACGTGGTCAGGGCTACGTCTCGCCACGTGGTCAGGGCTACGTCTCGCCACGTGGTCAGGGCTACGTCTCACCACGTGGTCAGGGCTACGTCTCACCACGAGGTCAGGGCTACGTCTCGCCACGTGGTCAGGGCTACGTCTCGCCACGTGGTCAGGGCTACGTCTCGCCACGTGGTCAGGGCTACGTCTCGCCACGTGGTCAGGGCTACGTCTCGCCACGTGGTCAGGGCTACGTCTCGCCACGTGGTCAGGGCTACGTCTCGCCACGTGGTCAGGGCTACGTCTCGCCACGTGGTCAGGGCTACGTCTCGCCACGTGGTCAGGGCTACGTCTCGCCACGGTCAGGGCTACGTCTCGCCACGTGGTCAGGGCTACGTCTCGCCACGTGGTCAGGGCTACGTCTCACCGCGTGGTCAGGGCTACGTCTCACCGCGTGGTCAGGGCTACGTCTCACCGCGTGTTCAGGGCTACGTCTCACCACGTGGTCAGGGCTACGTCTCACCACGTGGACAGGGCTACGTCTCACCACGTGGTCAGGGCTACGTCTCACCACGTGGTCAGGGCTACGTCTCACCACGTGGACAGGGCTACGTCTCACCACGTGGACAGGGCTACGTCTCACCACGTGGTCAGGGCTACGTCTCACCGCGTGGTCAGGGCTACGTCTCACCACGTGGACAGGGCTACGTCTCACCACGTGGTCAGGGCTACGTCTCACCACGTGGTCAGGGCTACGTCTCACCACGTGGACAGGGCTACGTCTCACCACGTGGACAGGGCTACGTCTCACCGCTTGGTCAGGGCTACGTCTCACCGCGTGGTCAGGGCTACGTCTCACCACGTGGTCAGGGCTACGTCTCACCACGTGGACAGGGCTACGTCTCACCACGTGGTCAGGGCTACGTCTCACCACGTGGTCAGGGCTACGTCTCACCACGTGGTCAGGGCTACGTCTCACCACGTGGTCAGGGCTACGTCTCACCGCGTGGTCAGGGCTACGTCTCACCACGTGGTCAGGGCTACGTCTCACCACGTGGTCAGGGCTACGTCTCACCACGTGGTCAGGGCTACGTCTCACCACGTGGTCAGGGCTACGTCTCACCACGTGGTCAGGGCTACGTCTCACCACGTGGTCAGGGCTACGTCTCACCACGTGGTCAGGGCTACGTCTCACCACGTGGACAGGGCTACGTCTCACCGCGTGGACAGGGCTACGTCTCACCGCGTGGACAGGGCTACGTCTCACCACGTGGTCAGGGCTACGTCTCACCACGTGGACAGGGCTACGTCTCACCGCGTGGACAGGGCTACGTCTCACCGCGTGGACAGGGCTACGTCTCACCACGTGGTCAGGGCTACGTCTCACCGCGTGGACAGGGCTTCGTGAACTGTTTACTCTAATGGTAAGTTTATTCATCTCATTTATAGTGTGTTTTATGTAGTATCTTGTTAAATGTTTGTATTTTCCTTACAGGTGAGTTGACTTACTGAGGGAGGGAGGAGGTCGTGAGGTGAGTGGTGTGGTGCCCTCAGGACCTGAGGACCTGACGCGCAGGTTTGGTGGTTGTGGCTTCTTATACTGGGCAGGTCTGCCGGTTGCTTGCTGATCAACCACCAAGTATACTTTGGGCCAGATTCACGAAAGCACTTACGCAAGCACTTACGAACGTGTACATCTTTCCTCAATCTTTGACGGCTTTGTTTACATTTATTAAACAGTTTACAAGCATGAAAACTTCCCAATCAACTGTTGTTATTGTTATAAACAGCCTCCTGGTGCTTCCGAGCTCATTAACTGTTTAATAATTGTAAACAAAGCCGCCAAAGATTGAGAAAAGATGTACAGGTTCGTAAGTGTTTGCGTAAGTGCTTTCGTGAATCTGGCCCCTTGTCCTTAACCTAAAATAAGCTGTATACACCCAAGGGAAGGGAACTATCAGAAGACACGGCCAAGCCATTAGGGCTATATAACATTACAGCGGGGTATATAGTGTAACTATATCCCTGGTAAAGGTATAATTACGAGAGGTGTAGGGTGAACATACGCCAATCGTATTGGCGTATGCCTTTCCGTTGGAGACTTACATCACCGCGGAGAGGGGAGACCTGCTGCTTGGGTAACAGCTTCTCCCCCGAATCAACCTACTCTGGCTTTGCGCCCTGGTGAGACCACTCCAGACCAGGCCGACACCAGAGTGCAACTCCATAGTCTCCTGAGACTGATGGATGCCTACTGCTATTACTATTAGGGTGAACTTACTACTACTTCTAGGGTGAACTTACTACTACTACTAGGGTGAACTTACCTGGTAAAAGGGGTGAGTGAGGCCTGGACGGGCCCCACTTGTCTCCAGGCGTTGTTGGCGCGGCAGAGTAGCGCCCTGAGGCAGGTGGGTCTGGCCCGCGCCCTGGCGTACAGGGTGGTCATGTCCAGCCCCACGGGGGACACCTGCGTCACCAGGGAGAACCACCGGTCCGTCCAGTGCCCTGACGGCTTCCCGCCCAGGGAGTGCTCGTCCTCCACCAGGCCCTGGCGCTTCACCACCTGCCGCTGGTTGCCCTCAGGGGCGTCGTGCTCGTGCACCCCGCTGTACCGTGAGTTGTATTGGCGACGGCGGCTGACGGCAGGTGCTGGGCGGGACTCCTGGCCCGGTGACGTCTTGGAGCGACGGAGGAGCTGCAGCAGAGCCTCGCTCATGTAGTGGTCCGCCTCGCTGGCCGCTCTGCCCTCACCCGCGGAGGTCTGGGAGGCCAGACTGTCTCTGACAGCAGAGGCCACGACGGGGACGACGTTGACCCGCTGCTGGGCGCGTCCTAGCGCCGTGAGGGTGGCCAGGGCGGACTGTAGCTGGGCGAGACTCAGCTTACTGACAGTGGTCAAGAGGGAGGAGAGGCCGCGCGGCTCCTCGCCCCCCGCCCTCAGCTGCTGCAGGACGGAGGTCAGGCCGCCGTCGGTGGCGAGCGTGGCGTACAGCTCCTGCAGGGGCTTGTATATCCTGGGGTGGAGGAGCACGGTGTCCAGAGCTGCCGGCGACGACCCGATCTCCGTCACCAGGCGCTCCTTGGCCTCCTGCAGCCACCGGGTCGTGTTGTGCTCCACCATCCACTCCATTTTGGCCTGCAGGAGTTGTGGCCAGCGAGGGGCGGCGGTGCGGCCCGCCTCCTGCCTGCCGGCGGCGGCGTCGGGCATGGCGCGCGATAACAAGTTAGCAGCGTACTGCGAACTGTGGACCTTGATGACGAGCTCGTCCAGCACCTTCTGCACCTGCCAGTGTATGACGCGGTCTGACAGCTCCCCGGGCTGCCCCTTGACGTACTTGCTGGCGGCGTAGACCACCACGGCCAGCAGGTTGAAGAGACCCACCAGCAGCACTATGGCGTCGTCCTCCGCCGGCCGCACCCCGTAGTTATCCCCGTAGTGGAACTGACTCACGAACCGCGGCCCCTCAGTCCTTCTCTCCTGATGATGAACCGCAGCCGTCGGTCGTGGGGCCGTAGTCGTGGTAGTCGTGGAATGCCACCGTTGTTGTCGCTGGCTTGCTGGGTTATAGGAATTCTGATACTGGGAAAAGAGGTGGTGAAGTTGGTTCATGGTGAAGCGGGTGTTGGGGAGATGTTGGAGTGTAGGGGTTGTGGTGGGGCCCGGGGCCCGAGGGCTGGTCATGGGCAGCTGCAGGAGTGGCTGGTGCAGGGGCAGGAAGGAGCCCCCACCCACCTGTGACACCGTCGCCATAGTGGTTGTGTGTTGTGAGTGTGTTGGCTTCTTCAGAGCAGCCGTCACCCGTGTGCCATGCTGTGACGGAGCCTCCAAAGGTGTCCTGGTGAGCCACGTAAGTTGTCTCTCCCAGAAATGAACACGAATTCGACGTATTTTTGTTTCCGAATGTTAAAGCTGGTTCTTGTAAGCACTCAGTATTGAAGGTTGTGGACACAGTTAAGGTGGAATAGTGTGTAGGGCCGTTGAGAAGTGTGTCGGGAGTGTAAGAGGTGTTATATGGGCGGGAGCACGAGAGTTGTGGTGTGTACTGGGAGGCACAACACGGCCGACTGTCCAGTGTTCAGACAACGATGGTCACGTCCAGGCTTCCGCCACCCCTAGTGCCAGCCCTCTGTCACGCCCCACACCTCCCCACACCCCCAACCCTCCACTCTGTTTTCCTCCCATTACCCACCTGTCTCTCACCAACGCCCCTCCCATCCCCCCTTGTGCCTCACTAGCCATTTATCATCATTGTCTTCTTAATCATCCAATACTTCCTCCCTGAAACGAACGACTGACCCAAATTCGTCATGACACATTGCCGATTTCGGTCAGATGTTTATAGTGATGGCGTAGATGGAGCAGGAGGTGGCGGACTTCTCCCTCCAGTAGCTACTACAGTGAGAGCAACAACACTGGAGACGACTTAACACCACTGACGCCCTGGAGTCCTCCACTCTGGAGTCTGGAGTCTGGAGACACTCCAGACATGACTCTTGCACGGACACACCTTCACGGGCGGGAAGGTGTACCAGTTTGACCTGTGACCAGTATTTGTTTTTTGTCATCCGAACTCTGGGTACAGATCTCCCAGGCAAGGAATGGATCAGTGAGGTAGTTGTGACTAGCATTCCACGCGTATAGCAGTCACAGTTTAGTCAATCAGAAACTTTGTTCCGTTTTGAAGAGCTTAAACATTATTCCAGTAATGTTTATTATATATTATATATATATATATATATATATATATATATATATATATATATATATATATATATATATATATATATATATATATATATATATATTATTAAATATGACCGAAAAAGTAAGATTAATAATTCTAACACGAATTTTCTCAATCTTTCGTACATTATGCTTCACTGTTGGAGGTAAATCAAAAATCACTTCTCCAAAATTCATTTTTATTTCTAGTCTGACGCGACACGG